TAAATACAAGTCAAAATGTTTTAGAAGAAAACTCTGGATGTTCATACTTAAAGCTGGAACAGTTCTGATAAAATAGCGGCACTCGTTGGCACGGCTTGGGCTTACCTCTTTGGTAATGCAAGGAAGCAACACTGCCAAATTACAGAACTTCGTGGCATTATCTACCTGTTCAAGATCTCTATAACACTGGAAATGGAAAATAAACAACATTAAAGGCAATCACATGTTTATGTAATGGATTCAAAGTGATCTTTAGCAGCAGTCTTTATTACCTTGGCCAGGAACATGTAATTGGACTTAGAAAAACCAGGGTGTAGTTCTTCAACCTGATTTTAAGAGAAAACAGAAAAGAGAATTAATAGGGTGATCCTAAAATAACAACACCAACAACCAGTGGAAAGGATGTATGTCAATAACTCAAATATTAACCACATTGCCCTAAGAATTTAGGTTGGTTGTGTCACTTCTGAGTCATTTTATCAGTTCAAGCATCCTTTGGGTAGAAAGATAGTTTTTGAGCTTATCTACTAAAATGAAATTATTATTATGGTCATAAAGCTTACAAAATAATAAGAATCTTTAAGGTTTTGGGATTCCTTTGTATAACTATCTCCTCACGTCCCCCTCATTATCCTTCCTCTCCTTTTCTTTCAAGAACAAACACAACTGGTGATATACTCCCCCTGGAAAAGGACTATACATTTCATAATCTATTTAGAAAATAAGAGGACAGCATGACTGGTATCCCAAGGCAAGCATCTTCTGGCATTAATGTTTGATTTTGATTTCTTATGATTTCAACACATTCCCTGAATTGAATAATATCTGAAGTCCATCACCTCAAGTACTTTTAAAGATGAATCCTTGAAACAACTAGTCTAAGTAGCAGCCCTACTTGCTGAGTTTAGTAAGTGGGAATTATGAAAGTACTTCATTCCTCTTCTACTTCTATTCCCATTCCTTTCCTTTATCTCTGGTAAATAAGGCTTCTTTCAGGTGTACAGTATTGCTACTAGAGCGCTTTTCTTAGAACCTGTCAGCAGTTTTGCATCAGAGCCAGCTCCTGCTGTTGTAAAGTCCTATGTAAGTAAGCTCCCAACCTGACCCCATCCCCAACCCAGAGGGATACAGAGCCCAAGAGAAGAAGGATGTTTTTAAAAAATTACAAAAGATGCTTGTTTTACAAGATACAAGCAATCCAGACATCGCCAAATTTAAAAAGTAAAAGCTTCTCTGTTCTAATTTTATCTTTCATTTCAATCTTATTCCCCAGGGGTAATGATTACTGAAAGTTTGACATCAAACTATCCCACCAGACCTTTTACCAAGCATAGGCAAACCAAATGAACAAACAAAAGATAAGTGGTTTTTGGGGGAAAAAAAATTAAAATGAGACCATTTTATACATATTGGTCCCAAACTTTTTCCCCACAACGTATCACAAACACATTTTCTAGTTATCATACACATATCTACCTCATTCCTAAGAGCTATATTTTATACTATGCATATACCATAACTAAATTAAGCATTTCCCATTAGATATTTAGACTTATTCTTATTTTTCACTATTACATAATGGTCAATGAACATATTTGCTCCCATGTGCTGTGTACATGTGTAATTATGTCTGTAGGAGAGATTCCTAGAAGGTGAATTGCTAAGTCAAAAGATATACACATTTTAAAGATGGATACTAATTGAGGAGAATTCAACACCTAGCACTCCCAAGGAGTGCTCCAATACCTTAAGCGAACATATCTCTTGCAAAGGACATTTATTCTCTAAAGAATCCCAAAGGAAGGGTCCTCAGAGTAGGAGGACAAAAATCTCTTGGGCTGGGGAGCCAGACTGGGTGTAGCTCTTTAAGACTGAGCAGATAAACAGTGTGTGGATCTGGCCTAGAACCTGCTAGTGAGACAGCAAGGTCACCAACAGATTGAAGGAAGTTATCAAGTTCAGTCCCAGCCAGAGCCTTGAACATCCCATAGAACCATCCATGATTCTGATGGATTCCAGTTCTCCTGTCTTCTCCAATTATTTCCATTTCAACTCTGTGCATTTACTAAGTGTATTTCTTGAGCCATTCTAGTAAGAAGGACCTAGATTGAACTTTGTTTAATTGTAACTTCTTCCATGTCCAGTAGTTTCCTCAAACTGTCCAATTTCTATCTGGATAACTTTCCCCCAAATATGTAAATAAGCAGCTTCTTATTTCTTTAGTATTGGCATTTTAATTCTGTATATATACCTTAACACTATGTTTAATTAACCAGAATGATTATAAATCAGAACATCTCTTTTCTCTCTCATGGTTGAAAGAAAATGAAGCCCAAAGGAACACAGGCCTTAGCTGAATAACAAGGAAGGAATTGTATTACTCAGTAGCATGTTCCAATTAAGGGGCAGTTTCTAGCTAGGCTCTTAGAACGCTCTTTATCATAACAGCTGGCAAAAAATAGTGTACTTGTTTACTTGGTCTTGGCTGTCCTAGTTCCCTGGAGGCAAGGGCTGTGTTGTTCATTTCTGTGTTCCCTACATTTGATTCTGTTTTATATTAGGCATGTGCTTAATAAACACTGTTGAATAAATTAGCTTTGTTTTAAAACATCTCATAACCTCAAGCAGCAGCCCTCCATCACGTCAGGACACTGAAGAAAACCCTGCAGCTGTTGAACCCACTGAAGGAGATGCAGGGATCATATGATTGCAAACAGTGAGTGAGATCAGGGCAGCCTGCCTTCAACTTTGCCATACATGTCACCTAGTATACACACCCATCCACATGTTCACAGAAGCTTTATTCATAATAGCTTTGAACTGGAAATAACTAAAACATCCATCAACAGGTAAATGTATAAGCATATTGTGACATGTCCATATAATAGAATATTACCCAGCAATAGAAAAGAACTACTCATACACTCAATAAAATGAATGAGTCTCAAAACATTATGCTGAGCAAAAGCAGCCAGAAATACACAAAAGTACGAGTGTTATGATTCCACTTATATAAAATTTTACAACAGGCAAAGCTAATCTATTGTGACAGAAAGCAGATCAGTGGATGCTGTCAAAGGTTCCTTTGACAGTCAACAGGCAAAGATAACTCTCTAGGGTGACAGAAATGTTCTATATTTTGAAATGGTGGTGGTTACATGAGTATATAAATTTTTCGAACTTCCCCGAACTGCACACTTAAAATGGGGCCGTTTTATTGTATATAAATTCTAACTTAATACATTCAGAAACTTTGAATTAATTAGTCTGACTCGTGGCCTGGGCTAGCATTTTTAAAAACTCTCCAGATGATTCTAACGTATAACCAAGATTGATAACCACTGCTTAGTAATCATGCCAGAATTCTGGATGAGGTGGGAGGCACGCTATTGTTAGAAAGCAACAAGAGTGGATTCACAGATGACTCCTGGTCTAACACCACCTCCCTAGATGTTCTGAGGTTTTGGAGAACAAGAGCTCTCCTGTTATAAGAGAGAATAATAGTGGCTAACATCAACGTTTAGTGAGGGCACTTAATGTGCTAGACCCTGAGCCAAGAAAATTACATGTTTTATTTTATGCAATCTTCATAAAAACTATACAGAGTAGGTATTGTTATGCCTACTTTATAGAGGAAAAATTTAAAATGAGAAAAAGAAACATGCCTAGGTCATACATACAGGAAAAAGACCAAACTTGATGGCTCTGGGGACGCATTCTTGGCCTTTGTGAATGCTCTTTGGAGCGACATAGTAGGCAGCGAGAGTCCTTTGTCTGGGTTCCAAGAACATGACCTCCTGTTGGGGCCAGGTGGGTGCAGACACTCCTAGGGTGTGGGATCCAAGGTCTGTGCTGTTTCCTTTCCCTCCCCTCCACCTCCCAGATTTCCTAGTTCTTCCATAGCCTTAGCCCTCTTAGCACTCCAGGCTCCTCATTATCCTCAGTTGTTACAGTGGATATGGGAAGAAGCATTTCCAATACCTTCTCACTCTCTAGACAAACACTGTGGAACACATTTTCAGTAAGAATCTGAGGTCTCCAAGACGGTTTGCCAAGGTGTTTACATTTTAATGAAATTAAAAATTCTGTGGGCTTTTATTGAGCACTCTTTAAGCAATTCACTTGTATTAACTTTTTTAATCTTTACGATGACACTACGAATCAGGTACTCTTATCTCCATGTTATTGATTAAACTGAGAGAGAGAGAGGTTAAGTAACTTGCCCAATGATAATTAGCTGCTAAGTAGCAGAACTGGGATTTAGCCAGGTGGTCTGGATGCAGAGTTTGCAACCTTTGCCTCTGCATTCTTTTGCCTCTTACCACTTTTGATTTTACTTGTGTAATATTTTAGGTATATTAGCACCTTAAGAACTTCTGTGCAGTGTCCTGAAGACCTGCCCACCCCGCCCCCGCAATTAAAACTTTTTTACTATGAAGAAATGAATTTCAAGTTTAAATGCATTTTTTGCTAATTAACTTAGCACCTTTTATAAATCATTTAGCTTAAATATACCATGATCTACATTCTTATAAAATTTGAAATGGGAGAACTAATTCTCAGTGGTAGAAAAAAAGTGAAGAAATGGGGATGATACAGCCTTAGACTTCATTCATATCTTCGATTTGCCTTTGTGTGACACTGGAAAAAAATTAAGTTCCTAAAGTCTTGGTTCCCTCTTTATAAAACAAAAAAATAGTAAATAAAAAATAAATATATGGCTCTTGTACTTTTATTCTCTTCACTCTTTTCCACTGGGCTTGTGCTTGATCTCAGAACACTTATTTTTTCATAAAGCATTCTAGTCATTGTTTACAGATGGAAAGTGGGATAAAACCTATTTGCCATCTTCGACTATATGAACTCTAAATTTCCTCTCAGTTCTACAGAACTGATCCCTAAATTACAACAACAAAAAAATCAGTGTGTACAGTATGTTGGACAATACAGTTCAGAGCCTAATTTTGTCTATATTGTTAGAAATTTGAAATCGTAGGTGGCAGGGGTAGGGGGAGATATCTTAGTATTTCTAAGATTCTATAATTGGTTCCAGAGAAAGGTGAAGGGAGTAACCCAATAGGAAGTTGTTTATGTGGAGTATTTTACATATTTACATGTGTACACACACACATATTACTGTTGAGAGTTTCATCAGCTTATATATTTTATCAATTATACATTTTAAGACACAATGAAAATGTGGTTTGGTCTGGTGCTCCAAGAATGTTTCATAGAACTGTCTGCATGCAACTTATGGAATGGCTTTTAAAATAATTCTCCTTTTTTGGTATCTTTTAGTTATTTAAGATGAAACTGTTTTTATGTTAGGCTAATTAGGAGCATTTGAGACCAAGTCTAATAATCAGAGCATGACCTGGAGAGTTGCTCTTGGATTTGGTAGTACCAGGTGCCATGCCTGGGACCCAGGGCATACCTAGCTGCTCTAAGAAGTAGTTTAGATTTAAACATAACTTTCATTATGAGAGACTTAAAACAGAACGTGCCAAAACCAAGATTCAAACTATTAGAGATCTACACATGGAGAAGAGAAAGATTTCCTTGACAAGTAGTAGTACTGATGTGGTGAGCAGCCCGTTTGACACTAAAATAATGGATAGGCAAAATATACCTTAAGGAAATGTTTCAAAGCTTCTTGTATAGTTGAGGATGGTATTTTTCCAAATAGAGTAGCAGACATTTTTTTCTCAATCCAGCTCAGTTTCGAGACCTGCAAATATAGAGCAACATCACTCTAGAAAGTTGTTCACCTTTTGAATAAATAATCTCTCCCCAAATAGATATGTGTATGTATATATGTTTACCCATATAATATATAAAAATATAAATACATAGCCATTAATAATATAAATGAGAGATATCACCTTTATGTATTTTATCTTCCTTTTCCATAATTCTAACAAACTATAATCTATGAAAATACTAATTGATAAATACTCATGATAAGATTTGTGTTCAGTCAGACAAAAAGAGGTGTGGGTGAGAAATAATGCTGATCTTGCTTGTTCATTTGATTCATGACTCTGCGATGACTGCAAGTATTTCTTTGCACGAGAGTGTAGTAGCTATAAGACCCTGACTTTGCTCTCGTCCTGCCTACTCCATGCTGCCAACCTTACCCAGAGCCCAGCATCTCAGGAATGTAAATAGAATGAGTATCCTCAATGCAGAGGGAATGTAGAGTGAGGGCCCAATATACGTATTTACAATCCAGGAGAATTTTTTTAAACTAATAACTGCCAAAATTAAATTTTATATTACCATTTTTTGCTTTGTTTTAATTTTTTTTCATTTTTGCCAAATATGAATATTAGGTGTTTATCGCAAAAGAGTAAAAGGATTCAGAAATGAATACTTAAAAGGGTACTGATGAATTCTTCAACCCCATCAAGTGGGTTCCTTCCCAATCTCATCTTCTAGGTTTCCAGGTAGCTTATTAGAAAAATGATACCATGTTGTTTATTTCCTTCTATGACTTATTATTATTTATTTTTTTACTGAACATTATAGTTTTAAGATTTTACCCAGGCTGATAAGTGTAACTGAAGTTCAATCATTTAAATGGCTATGAAATATTCTATCACTTAAATATGCATCAATGATTTTTCATTCAAGCTTGTGTCAATGGACTTTTGAGTCTTTTTCCATTTTTTTGCTCTTAGGAACAAGGCTGCTTCAGGCATTCTTGTACATGCCTTTTGAGGCAAATTTGCAAGAGTTTCTCTAGGGTAGGCACCAGTGTGGGTCTTATGGTAGGCAAGTAGTCAAATTTAAAAGATAATAGCCAATTGTTTCTAAGGTAGTTTTGTCAATTTATGCTCCCATGACAATGTAAGAATTCCTGTTGCTCCATATCCTTGCAAAATCTCATATTGATATTTTTAAATTTTGTCTAACGAGTAGAAAGACAATGCATCTACTTGTAGTTTTAATGATCATTTGTATTATTTCTAACTTCAAGATTTATGTTTTTAAAGTTCTCATTTCATTTCATTATGATCAGAAAACCTATACGATATTGATTCTCTGAAATTTATTAAGACTTGCTTCATGATCTTATATATGGTCAATGTTGTAAACATTCTATATATGGTTGAAAAATGTGTATCTTCTATTGGTTAGGTATATATTTTTACATATGTTTATTAGATCAAAGTTAGTAAATGTGAGGCTCCAATTTTTAAGAACTAATATTCTGTCTTCTCATTCTATCGATTACCAAAAGAGGTACATAAAAACTTACCACTATGTGGTGTTCTTACTTACCTTCCATGTCTTTTTATTTCTCCTTCATATTTTCCATTCTATGTTCTCTGTGCTGCATTCCAAATAACTTTTTCATATTTATCTTAAAAGTTTACTAATTTTCTCTTTAGTGGTACTTATATACTACTAAATTATATCATTGAGTTCTCTTTTTAATGTCAAATAATACATACTTTTTATATCAAAACTGTTTCATCTTTTTCTTTATTTTTTCTTTAATTTTATTTATATTTAAAAAAATTTTTTTTTTTAGGCGAGGCAAACCTTGGTTGACCTCACAGATTTCAAGGACCCTGTCAGCTCACAATCTTTTAATTTTTATTTTTTATGCCTACAGCACTTGGTCTTCCTAGGTGATCTCCCATCCAAGTGCTAACCAGGCCCGACCCTGCTTAGCTTCCAAGATCAGATGGGATTGGGACATCTTTTTCAAATCTACCTGGTCTTTTTGTAGTTCCATGCTCCTCAACCATTTTTGCCCATTATGTGTACAAAACATATTATCTAGACAGCTGTTTAATATTCTGTATTCCATGTTCCTAAAATCTGAAGTCCTTCTAAACCTATTTCCCCTTTTTTTTTTCTGTTGATTTGTCATTCCTGATGGCTTATCTCTTATATATTCTATTCTTTTTGACAGTGAGCTCATCATAGTTGGGCTACTCAGAGAGAGTTTTATAAGGCCTGTGTGAAGGTACATTCCCCCAGGGAGAATTAGCATTAGCTTCTGCCATTTGTCTATGGCATAAAGATCAGGTTCCATTTTCAATTAAAATCTCCTTCCTAGGTTTTCAAAGCCTGAGCAAATAATGTACATTCAAGTTCCAGACTCACATGAGATTGGGTCAATGGTTTTTAAACCTTACAGGAGTCTCCTCCCTTCATGAAAACTCAGAGTCTTAATATTTAAAAGCGGCATAATCAAAACTGCGTACAGAGCTATTATAAAGATTATTTGCGATAAGAAATGTAAAGCATAAAATGCACACCTGATATATAGCAGGTGTTCAATAAAAGTAAGCTTCCCTCTTCACCCCTAGATCTTCTTCAAGCCTCAATTAAAAAGCTTCCTCTTTGGCTTACCCTCATTTTCTCATTCAAAAAGAGCATTCATCCTCATGGTAATTTTTCATGCATCTCTTAAGATATATTTTTACCTTCTGTTAATTTTCTGTGAACTAATGTCATTTAAGACACTGAGTCTTGGACTTACCAGCTGCCTTTATTTATTTCCATATGTCTCATGTCCCTTTCGAAATTAAGTTTCTTAAAGACAAGGAGATTGTTTTATTTATCTTATAGCTAGTGATCACATAATTTATGCTTAATATACTCTGATGAATGAAAAAAGTCCTCCCACGAAGCAGAGTAGTGTACTAATACAGGGCACATGTGTGTAGGTGGTTGATGACCCCTTGAGACAGCACAAAAGAAGACAGTGTGGCTGCTTCAAGGGAAATAGAAAGGCAGTAAAGGAAAAAAAATACATACATATATAAAATAATATTCTATGTATAACATTAATTATAAGATATGTAAATTATAAATTCATAAAGTATGTATTGATTTTATTTCCCTAGCACAGATACTAGGTAAAACAATAAAAGAATGAATAAGTCACTGAAAATGTATCATACAATCATAGTATATTCAAATAAGATTTATAGATAAAAGCACTCAACTTACAGTATAACAGTATCTTCCCTTGAGGTAATACAAATAGGGTTCTTCAGGTAAAAATTGGATTGCTTTATCTAGATGTTCCTGAAAGAAAATCCCAAAGAAATATCATCTCCCAAGGTTTTAAGTAGTGTTGAATGAATTATGCCTAGTAAATTCAAAGGAGCTTTACAATGTTTCATCCCCTTCCTCAATCCCTATCATTAATACAATTAAGCTTTAGCAATGGTTCAATTATCAAAAATGATTGCTCAGAACTAGGAGCAGAACTGTGACTACAGTTAAATAATGCAACAGATAATTTAAAGCCAAATGTTGCTATAAAAATAGAAAACATCCAGTCACATTATTGTCTGCCTATGACTTGCCCAGCTAACATTTGATTCAGAGGCAAGCTTACAAATATCAAATCACTAGGGTACAATAAAGGAAATAGCAGAACCAGGTGGTAGAGGAATCTACTCCCTTGACACTGTCAAACGGTTATAGGGAGTTGGGAAACAAAGAACTCTTTGCCCATCATCATAATTATTGACCTTGAGGGGCTATTTATTGAGCTATTATAACTAGAGGCACATTATAAATTATGAGTATTTGCATTACTTATTTTATTCATATATCATGGTAAATTTAAGCCCTAGGTTGGATTCTATTCCTCCCACCAAATCAATATGCAGAAAATGTTAACTAATTAGTCCCAGGCGTGTTTCTAATGTTAGTGAGCTCATGACCAATAGGCTAATTCTCTATCTTTGAAAAAAAAAATACTCATCTACTATGTGACTTCTTTCAGGATCTAGAAAAATGATAATCATTAACCACCCAAATAATTTGATTCCTTTTGGCAAAGTACTATTTGAAGACTGTCAATTCATTTAGATAAAAAGATATATGCCTAGAGATTAATTTGTTGAATAATTTTAATATCCCTGTTAATAGAACATATAGCCACATTAAAACATTTTTAATATCAAGAAATACCTTGAAGCGATATCCATAGTTGATTTTGTTTTGTAAGCCCTCAAACTCAGCTACATAGCCACACAAAACTGCGTACCTGAAAAGGATAAACAGTGAATATAGTGTGAACTTTTAATCGAATATCGTCAAATATGATATTAAAAAAATCTCTGAAGCATTCATTAATATTTAATGAAAATATTGATTAAATGTGAGGGCCCTAAAGATACTAAACACTTGACATTAACATGAGGCCAGTTTCCTCATCTATAATTGGAATACTAACACTATCTATCATATGTGTATGCTGTGAGGGTAAATATCTAAAATCCGTAGTTGCTTAGACTAGTGTCTACCATATAGTGAGTTTCAAAAAATGTTAGCTGTCATTATTACCATCGTCAACATCAAAGTCACAAAGAGGCTCTCAGAAAAAGTATAATTACATAAGTATTAAATTGAAAAATGTATCAATAAATCCTTGTTCCTCCTAAATAAAAATTTCATGGCCTCCTTAAATGTCATTTGAAAATAAAAATAAATATCATGACTAAAACCAAATAAAGTCAAGGTAATTTTAAAATATGCTTTTTCAAAGAATTCTCATGTCCTTCAACCCTTCCTTAGAAACACCGCATTACCAGAATAGAACATCTCATGAATTATTATGACTTCTTCTCCATTGAGAACGTAAAATTTACATAAATAATTATTAGACTATAAATTGGGTGTGACATTTGTTCAGCAATTTTCTTACTTTAAAAATTGAGGACATATTACTTTTCACATTCAGAGTGTTTCTGTTTGTGCAAAAGTCTTTGGACTATTTTAGAGTGTTTCTCTTAGGCAAAATAGTCATTTACCTAAGTATTTCAAGAGTAAGTGTTAATTTTTATTTGCATGGTCATCGCTGAAATGAAAAAGGTAACTTTGGGTGTATTTATCTCTATTGTTTCTGTGGATAAGCATAACTTTCAAGTACAAATATGAAGTGAATAATTTTCTTATTTTGGAACAATAAGACCAGTCCTGGACACAAAAGACCACACCACTTATGCACAACCAATAAATGGCCACTTTTCAGTTATGAATTTTTTGACTTCTTAAAATTTCAGTTTCTACATAATCAATGGAATCTACAACAATAGAAGCCAGAATGATGACTAAATCAACCTACTAAAAGTAATCCAATTATGGAACTAGATGAGGAGATATTACTACTCAGAAATTATAAAATCAGATTGCATTTCACATACATCTCTACACCTGTCAGAGACTGAGCATTTGAGAAAAGATTATTGGAAAAAAAGATTCTCAAGCTCTCTTGAGAAAACTGGTATTATCATCTCCAGCCTAGCCTCACGTTGTTCTTTTGAAACGTCCCCTTTCTGTCATTCTGTTCTATTGTTCCTCCCAAAGAGTTCCAGATTGGGGAGCAAAATCCACACAGCTATATCCCCAAACTCTCCCTTTTTGTTATGGGCAGTATAACTTATTCAGACTTAAAACGTTAGTCCACTTACAAAAAAATAAACTTTAATTTTAAAATACCTTGAGATTTATAGGAAAGTTGCAAAGATAGTTCAGAGTTCCCATATACCCACATCCAGTTTACTGTTTACCTCTTACATTACTAGTGTACATTTATCACAATTGTACTAAGAGTGCCATATAATAGACACATACTTTTCACAATGAATCAATATTAATACACTATTATTAACTATACTCCACACTTCATTCAAAGGTCCATTGTTTGTCCCTAATGTCCTAAAATTTTGATACTTTCTCTCCATTTCTTCTTCCACATTTATCCCTATTAATTCAATACCTTGTTTGGTATTTCTTTCAATATGTGAAAATCTTTTGAATTACTACTGTCACCTGTCATACATCCAATTCCTCCTAATTTTGTGTTATTTATAACTTTATAAGCATACCTTTTATATCTTCGCCCAGTGACAAAATTTCTGAACACACTAGTGTCTATGATAGAGGACTGGAACTCTAGAATCACCTGCAGATTGACAACGATATTGTCGAAAGTTATTCTATTGAATAACTGAGGCTCAAACCCTTCTGTCAGCACGGGTAGCCCAGAAGCTTGACCATGTCTTGTCTGTCTTGTCTACAAAAATGTTAGGAGTGAACTTGCCCTAATGCCTTGCTTAAATCCAAATGTACTAGCTCGGTTTCCATACTCCATTTACCAGTAAAGAAATAATAATAAAAACAGATCATGTCACATTTTTAGAAAAATCTATTTTGGGTCTACTTGAACTTCTTCACCTAGAGGTTCACAGAACAACCCAACTATCAAAGCTGGAATCAATCTTCTATTTTCTGAATATCAGAACTATTTATGCATATCTCTAGGCTTTTATAGTGCTCTCTCAGCATTTTCTCCAAGCTATTCTGAGTAAAGAAAAAAAGAAAAAACATGATTTATGAATACCATTATATGAAATATGTACGTTTTCCCTTATAAATGATCTATTGCTAGACTCATATGTTTTTTGTAATCTTTTTTGAAGTTTGCTTCTTTAAAGTCTAAAATATTATTTATCTTCTCACATATCAAACAATCAAAGTTCACGTGACCATTTTTTTCCCAAAGGATCATCGCTTCTTTTCTGGCAATCAATTCCACCTGATTGTCTGTGTGTGTTGCTGTTTTTTATACAGTTCCTCTTTAAAAATGTAATTTAAAATTTTATTTCCTAAACACTCAGGTTAATAGGAACTCTGAGAAAAGTTAATACACAATGTGGTATATTACCTCCATCTAGAGGTCATTCTAACTATGCGTTTTGACAAAAATTCTGTATTTTCTTTGCTTTCATATTGAATATATCTTTAATAATGGACAAAAATTCCTGTTTCAACAACTACTAAAACAACTCCATTAGTTTCCCTGCAGCACTTTTGATTCGGCACGAATGCTAGTTATACTGTGAGAAAACTGAAGAATAATGTAACACGAAATATTGAGTATATTGAGTATATAAGATTGTAAGATCTGCTTTTATTTATTTTTTATTTATTATGTGAACCTTGGTTACTAATCAACACATTATACCAGACACACACACGTGCACACACGCACTGCCTTGCTTACTGTTATTTATAAAATGAAAACAAGTTGTTCTGTGAATCACATGCTATAAGGCATGTGGATGTAATTTCTGAACAGTAGAGCACAATAAATATTTAAGACATTATTTATAATTAAGGTCAGGCCTATTTGGCTAATAATTTGCAAATCCATTGGTGATTTTACTTTCTTGATTCCAGAAGTATCTTAAGCTGGTAAAACAAAAACAGCAGAATTTTATAGAAAGCTTATGTAGCCTTAAAGTTACAAAGCAATTTCATTTTGGGAAAGATGAAGATAAAAAGCAAATCTTTAAAATAATATTTGTTTTTAATTATTCGCCCAATGGTAATCTTTTATGATAATTATTCTTGAAGATTGCATCTTTTATTTCAAACCGAAGGCTTATAAACAATCACATAACTCTGTAAACCAGTGGTCCCCAACCTTTTTGGCACCAAGGACTCAGGGACGGGTGCTCCTAAGAGAATCTATCTAATGCCTGATGATCTGAGGTGGAGCTGAGGTGGTGATGCTAGTGCTGGGGAGCGGCTGCAAATACAGATGATGCTTTGCTTGCTCGCCTGCCGCTCACTTCCTGCTGTGCGGCCCAGTTCCTAATAGGCCACGGACTGGTAGTGGTCTGTGGCCTGGGGTTTGGGGACCCCTGGTAAACCAGGGGTCTGAGAACTTTTGCTGCAGGGCCAGCTAGCAAACATTTTAGGCTCTGGGGTCAGAGAATCTCTGTTGCAACTACTCGACTTCATCGCTATGCACAAATGCAGGGGCAAGGCTCTGCTCCAATAAAACTTTACTTACAAAAGCAAGCAGTTGGATTTGGTCTGTAGGCCATAGTTTATCATTTATGGTGAATGAATGAGAAAATGTCTTAACATACTGACAAAGATTCCAGCAGAATACGACCTTTTCACTATATTTTATTACAATTAACTATGGAATCAGTTGGCCTAAATTTTACCCCTTACTTCTCAAGTTTTAATTTCTGTTTTTTCATATATTCTAAGAGTTAAGATAAAGTTGACATTTGAACTTGGTAATTTTTATCAACTCATTAGATTTTAATATATAAATTTTTTAAATTAAAGCTGATACCAAATAAGAAATCATGTGAAACACAATTGGATCATTACAGTGTATGTGTTGGGAAGATTTAACCTTGGAGTTAAATTCCACGATTATATAAGTGGCAATTATTCACAACAAAAAGTGAAAAAGATGAACATAGGAGAAATTGCCAGATTAGTGGCGAAGAGACTAGGCAACCCACTAAGGAAGTGGTAAGTACAATCTGTCTTCACAGGATGGATTTCACAGGATGAAGCCCTCAGATTGAACATTTTCCTCTACAAAAATTTTGAAGCTCATCTTGATAAATGTCATCGATTTGAGAAGTAACATCAAATGTACATTTTAAAGGTGATTCTGCATGGGTGCAGAGGCAGTATGGAGAAGAAAGAGGACAGCAGAGGAAGAGGAAGAAAGGTTTAGAGTTAAGAGTAGGACCTGGGTATTGCTTCTGCATCCAAATCTGGCTAACCAGCTCCCACACACCCCAGTATCAAAGGAGATGAAGAGAGTGTGGCTTGATTCATATAAATTCACTATGTTACTACTACAAGTGGAAAAACAGAAATACCTCAATGCATATATATGTTAATTTATTAATATCAGCATTATGCAAATTAGATGAAGAAGGTAAAGTTGTCCATAGAAATAATAGCCAAGATCCTTATGTACTGGGGAAATTATCTTTAAGATATGTCCAGAATGTTAACTGCAAAATTACCTTTCCCCTAGTTTTGGCAGAGGCACCAAGGGCACAGAACAATGTTTTAGCTATTAGGCACTCCAATTCTTAAACAAGAAACTCTACGATCCATGCATGATGTGGTAAGAAAATGATTCACAGATTCTGCTGGGGTTAGCTCTTTACCCATCTCCAGGCTACAAAGGAACAGGCAAAGAATGCACTGTGGGAGAAAGAGACCTGGAGTGAGGATTTCTATGGACAGAATTAGGGTACTATGGATTCCATCTCCCACTTTCTTATGAGAGAGGAGTAGGCTTGCATCTCATCTTAAGCCAAGTAAGTGCTGATTCAAAAGACCTCTTCTTAATTTGGCATGTGTCCTTGGGAGTTTCTGGGACAAAAAAAAATGTTACCTGACTTCTGCCCAGGAAAGTTTTAAGACGAGAGTTTGTGGGTGGAGCTCCCCCTGCTGGTAGTAGAGTGAAATAAAGGGTCTGCGATGGGAAAATGGTTTGCACCTCAGAGTTGGTGGGGCAAAAATGAATTTCCGGTGGGACAAATGTGGACTTACAGATATATTTGCAAGCAATGCCTCAGATAAGGGCCTAATATCTAAAATACACAAAGAACTCATACAACTCAATAACAACAACAACAAAACAAATGATCCAATCAAAAAATGGGCAGAGGACCTGAACAGACATTTCTCCCTAGAAGGCATACAAATGGCCAATATATGAAAAGATGCTCAACATCGCTAGCTCTTAGGGAAATGCAAATCAAAACCCAATGAGATACCATCTCACACCTGTTAGAATAGCTATAATTAATAGGACAAGTAATGACAAATGCTGGAGAGGATGTGGAGAAAAAGGAACCTTCATACACTGCTGGTGGGACTGCAAATTGGTATAGCCATTATGGAAAGTGGTATGGAGGTTCCTCAAAAAACTAAGAATTGACCTACCATATGATCCAGCAATCCCTCTACTGAGTATTTACCCCAAAGACTTGAAAACTCATATTCGAAAAGATATTTGCACACCGATGTTCATAGCAGCATTATTCACAGTGGCCAGGACATGGAAGCAACTGAAGCATCCTATGATAGATGATTGGCTAAAGAAGGTGTGGTATATATACACAATGGAATATTACTCGACCATAAGAAGAGATGAGATACTGCCATTTGCGACAACATGGATGGACCTCATGCTAAGTGAAATAAGCCAGACGGAAAAAATTGAAAATCACATGATATCACTTATATGTGGGATATAAACCTAAAAGCAACAAATGAACAAGACAAACAAACAGAGACTCATGGACGTGGACGATGGACTAGTGGTTACCAGAAGGTAGGGGGTCGGAAGGGAGGGAAGAGGTAGACTGGGTAAAGGGGGTCAAATATGTGGTGACAGAAGGAAATCTAACTATGGGAGGTGAACACACAGTGTAAACATATATATGTCTTACTGTTAAGTGTATAGCTGAAACTTAAATGATTTCATTAACGAATGTCACCATAAAAAATAAATTAATTAATTTAAAAAAATAACAGATTTGGGAAAAAAAAAAAAAGGGAGCCATTTTGAGAGAGATTTTGCCTAAGAGTGCCCCAGAAGACTAAAATAATGTCCAAGAGGGGTGGATTTCTGGAAAACTAGGTCTGAGAGAAGGCTCATAAATTAATTTATTACTGTATCTCCCTAGCACATAAATTACCTGTGCTGCTAGAAAGGAAAAAACAAAACTAAAACAATTGCAAAAATACAACTAGGAGTAAAAGGAAACATTAATTAAAAACAATACATCTCTTCTTATTTGTGTTTTAAAATTCTACACATACAAAGAATTCAAAACAAAATATACTCAAGAATAAATTTTTTTGTCCCAAGGATATTTATTTGCCTGTACCCACCGACCTGATTAAATTTCCTTTGTTTGAGCTTTCTTATATTATAAATGGCTTTTCTTTGACCTGTGGAATTTTTAGACTTTGACTCATTTGGTGTAAAAAATGGCTGATGAGCTTTTATTCTTCGAAGCATTCTTTCTACATTTCAGTTATAAACATGACATCATTCTCGTGTTTGTTGTCAAACAAAATGTTTACTAAATTAGTTTTAATTAAAATTTATCATGTTCAGAGCCATTGGACTTGGTACATTCACTTATGAAATCTTCAAAGAAAGTTTACCTTAAATATATTTAAAATATACATACTGAAAAATATATGAGAAAAAACAGAATAAGAACAGTTACTATATTATCTACTATATTTTTCAGTGAATGTGACAGAGATTAAATGTGTCAGTAATATTTTAAAAATCCATTGTAATCGATAGAGGCATATTAGAATTTTTAAAGACTGCATAAACTCTATGAACTTACCACAGATGACAGCGTCCATTCATGGGTGCTCTAGTAATAGCTTTTTCACCTAATGTCTTCCCTGAAAGATAAATGTACTTACACTTAGTACCTTCATGTGAGTTGGTGGGTGGCAGATTATTGAATTAAATCAGTGGTTCCCAAACTATGGTCTCAAGACCAAAAGCATCACCTGGAAACTTATTAGAAAGCAAATTTTTGGCCATATAGGAGACTGACTTGATCACAAACTCTGGGACAGAGCAATCTGCTTTCACCAGCCTCAAGTGATTCTGATGTATGCTCAAGTTTGAGACTCACTGGACTAAGTGATTTAACCAAGTGCAAGAAAAGTCATTCGATCATTATTTTAAAACGTTAATAATAGAACTTGTTTTGTAATTAACTCAGCCAACATTTGCTGAGTGCCTTCTAAGTGCCATACTATGCGAGCCTTGGAATAAAAAGTCAAATGAGACACAGTTCTTGACTTCCAAAGGTTTACAGCTCAGGAGGCAGCAGGTATATAAACAAATTACATGCAAAAAATAAAAGCAGGGTAAAGAAGAGCGCACAGCAGAGAACAGAATAACTCTATCTAAAGGGGGGTGGGAAGGCTGCCCAGAGAGATTCTCGCCTCATAATTCACAATAATGAACAGGTTCAATACATAAATAATTCTCTCAAATCATTTTACTTAGTTTAGAATAACTTTTAATAATGCAATAATTACTTTGGATAGAGGTTTGTCTATAGGCTTGAAAAATCAAAATGCTTGCAACAAAACTGAACTACAATCTGAAAATCCCAAAAAGTGGCTGTTTTATTTTATACCATCTCCTTTCCTCCCCTTGTGCCCCATTTTCCCGCCGCTTGGAAAGGCTATCTAATGATCTGCAAAATGAGTCGTTGAGATAATCTTTATAAAAAAGAGTCTTTTATTCTAAAACCATTCCCTATTGTTAATTTGTTAAAGTGGTATTTTATAGTTCTATCCATTAAGAGAACTACCCTGTGTAGAAATCTACATAAATTGAAAAAAAAAAAAAAGGATTTTAACAACCTAACATTAAAAAACGTAATTACAAGGAGTTTAGAAACATTTCTTTCTTGGAAATAAAAACGACAGGTACCTGGACTAGAAGGAGATCTGAAGTATCATTACCTTTTTGCTATCTCTTCCTCATGCTATTTTAGAGAAAGAAAGCTTTGAAAAGAGAGGACTTGGGAATAAGAAAAGAATTAAAGAAGTTCTGGTATCAAATTACTACCCTGAAACACAGAGATAGCAGTTAAGGGGCTTTTTGAAGAAAGAATTTTGCTATTCAGTAAGAGTCAAGGTGACATAAATATATATAAATGATGTGACATTTGGCTGTTTTTGTTTTGTTGTTATTATTATAAAAAAATTCAAAAATAGGCCCCGAAGTATAGAGGACAGTATAATAAACAACCATGGATACATCACTAAGCTAAAACAGTTATCGACTCAAGGCTAATCTTGTTTTATAAAGATAAATTTTGAAACTTCAAAAGCTGAAATGTGAGTTTTTCAGTTGCCTATTCTAATATGCTCAAATATTTTTAAAGAATACATTTATTCTTTAATCCTAAAAAAACCTTTCTGTCCTTAGACTATGTGTATTTTTCAGTACCAGGATATATTGAAATAGATTAAACATATTGGTTTCAGCTAAGAAAATTTAGCTTTAATTAAAAATTAGTAGTTTATTATAGATAATAGTCACTTGATGATAATCAATCTTTATAAAATACTTACCAATATTAGCATAATGTTTCTTTTCTTGTGTATTTGTAGATAGCTCACACATGTCTCCATAAGCACGAACAAATCTCCAAATAAATTCGATTTCATCTCTAAACTGAAAAGATAGAACTTCACATTAGATTAACTCAGTAACTTGACCAGACTATTAAATATTTTGTACTGCAACTTTAAAAAAATTAGGCAGGTAAACTGGCATTTATAAATGACTGAATCTATTCTCGTATGTATAATATTTTAAATTAAAATATTCATGGCTAAAAAATGTGATTTAATATAAAGTTACGTTTGGATCTTAAAAATAATAAATATTATCCAGACACTAGCTCCATGGCTACGTAGAAGTGAAAACTGATAGTCCCCAGAATCTATACATTCTCCCTGAGTTGTAGTATCCTCTTTTTATTCTCTTTCCAGTTATCTGCTATCAATATGATGCTTCAATGAGCATTTCAGATAACATCTGGCAAGTCATTACGGATCACATATACTCAAAAGAGCAGTCACGTTTTTTACCTGTATTATCTAAATATAATCCTAAAGATTTAAAAATTTTGACAATGTGTTTAGAGTTGCTAAATCCTCAAAGGGTAGACTTGTTCATGGGGAAGAAAGAGATTTATTGCTTCTTGGGATATTGCAAACTTTTTTTTTGTGTGTGGTGGTGGTGGTAGTGGTGGGAGAGATGGGTTTTCCCAATTCAGCCTAACATTAAACATTGAAATATGACCAGTGGTAGAAATAGGTTAAAATACTGATGGCTGTTATATTAATACTAAGTTAGAAAACTTAAAATGTAGCCCCCCCTCAGAGAAGCAGTGTATCTTGTTCTTTATCTGTTATAAAATATTTATTAAATATATCAAATTAATAAAGATCAAAGTAAATCTGTATAGTCATATATTTGGTTCTCATTTTTATGATTTGAGAGCCTGATGAACTCAATTTACTTTTTTAGTCACATTATAAAAAATTTTGCATCAATCAATTAGCTTGTATAAACTGTGAAACATTTGTTGTGGTTACAATATGAATGGGAAAGTATATTAAATCAAAAATTAAAACTATTCAAATATGTTATTATCAGATATCACTTACCTTTTCTTTGTGGTCACAAAGTAGTTCAAAACTCTCCATCTTGCTAGACTCGTTCAAACGTAAATTATCTGCCTTCAGCAGAAGGACATCTAAATTTAATTCCTCTACATGTGTGTTAAGTGCTTGAGGGACTGGAAAACTCTGTTCTTCTGTATCAGTATTAGCTGTAATATACCTAAAATTGCAGAAATAATCATCAACTTCTTTGAAAGTATACTATAGTAGCCAGAGTGACCTTTTTAAAATGCCAGTCAAATCACAACTCCCTTATGCTTGAAACCCTGCAGTGGTACCCCCTGCACTCAGAGAAAAAGCTCAAGTTCTCACAACAGAGGTTTGTTTCCCAATCGCATCACCTCTCTGACCTCAGCTCCTACCACTCTTATTCAGCTCTACACTGGCCGCCTAGCTGTTCCTTAAACGTGCCAGTCCCACTCCTATCTCAGGACCTTTGCTTGCTTTTCCCTCAGAAGGGGACATAACTCACATCCTCACCTCCTTCAAGTTTCAGTTCCAATGTCATCTCAGCGTGGCCCATCCAGACTATTCTATTTAAAACAGCAACCTCCATACTACAACCTACCTACATTCAATCTCCCTTACCATTGTTGACATATTTTTCCTGTAATATCATGTACTGATATACTATATAATTTACTAATCTACTACATGTGTTATTTTTGTCAGTATCACCCCCTCCACTAGATTGAATGCTTCCTGCAATATATTAACTGATGTATTAAGTGTTTAGAACAGCACTTTACACATAGTGGATGTGCACTGAATATTGTTTAATGAATGATACAGAGTTATAGGAATTCAGCAGGCCCTCAAACACACACATGTACACACACATTTATAGTTCAAATGATGCTCTAACTCAGCTTAAAAATTCATGCTACTTTCCACATTTCCTTTTGGCGTCATACAATGCAAACAAATTGTTTTCATTTATTCAGACCCTGTCCTGTTCTAAAAAGATTTTAAGGAGGCACATAAAGATATATAACATATAAGGGAACAAATTACAAGTAGTGAGAAAAGATAAAAACAAGGCCCAATGAAAGTGAGGTCAATAAAAAAAAACATATACTTTATATATCTATATCTTTGCTTCAAGGGACACAAATGTGGTTTTAGATCATATAGTCACAGTCTCCAGCAGACACTAAGAAAGACACAAACAAAATAAGTTCTTGAGAGATGTGCAACCATTTCTAATACTGAGACTCAAATTTATTTCAAAGTCTTTATAAAGAAGACACTATATGAAATGATATTCAAATTCTTCAACATTATTAATGGAAACTTCATTCTTTCAGTTTCCCAAATCAAAAAAACTTAGAATTATCCTTGACTCTTCTTTTTCTCTCTTAAGCAATATCCAATCTGTTAGAAATTCCTGTTAGTTCTATCTTCAAAAGAGATCCAGAATCTAGCCACTTTTCACCACCTCTACTCACTACTGCCCTGGTCTAAACCATCATCATGTCACCTGGATTACTGTAATGGTTTCCTATCACATCTCCCTGCTTTAGTCCTTGACCCTTATAGTTTATTCTCAACACAGTAGCCAGAATGGTTCTTTAAAAACCATGAATCAGATCATGTCACCCTTTGTTCAAAACCCTCCAATATATGTCCAAATCAGAATGAAAATATAAGTCCTTACAGTGGTTGGCAAGGCCTTACATTATTTATAACTAACTAAATGAGTAAAAGTGACACTTACTTACTTAGGCCAAAATCAGGGTTTGCATGAGCTAACTCTTATATCTTTGTGCACCAGAGATATAAGAAAATGATAATCAAAAGAAAGTAACTAAATTAACATCAGACATAATCTTTTTTAGAGCAAAAAGCATTAAATTTAAAGATGGATAGGAAACAACACCTAATGGTTCAATCTGTAAGGAAGAAAGAGTAGTTTTAGATTTCTATGTACTAAAAACACAAGCTTCAAATATATAAAAAACACAAATTAAAAGATATATAAAGAGTAATTAAATGCACTAATCAGAATAAAGGATTTTTAACATAACGTTCTAAGTAATTGATAAAGTATATAAAAATAGTAAGGATACAATTTAAACACCTAAATTAACATGCTCAAATCCAACCAACATATAGAACTAGACATCAAACATCTGGAGAACACTTTCTTCTCTAAAACATCTGGAATATTTATAAAAACAGGCATGCACACAAGGCTATGAAGCAAGCCACAAAAGTTAACAATCTATTATGTAGACTATGTTCTTTGTTTACAATGCAACTAAATTAGAAATCACCACTAAAAAATAGGGGAGAAAACCCCAACATCCGAAGATAATTTAAAAATACACTTCTAACTATATGCTTACCAGAATGGCTAAAATGACAAAAGACAAACATACCAAGTGTTGGTGAGGATGTGGAGAAAATGGAGCTCTCATACATGACTGATGAGAGTGTAAACTGGTACAACCGCTTTGGAAATATTTTTGGCAATATATCCTAAAGTTGGCATATGCATACTCTATGAATCTAGCAATTTCACTCCTAAGCATATAACTAAAAGATATGTGTATATATGCTTATGCTATCATAATTTTCCATAACTGGAAACTACCAAATGCCTATTAGGAATGGCTGAGATGTTGTGGTATATTTACACAATGGAAGAATACTTAGTAATGAGAATGAACGATTTACAATTGCACACAACAAAATGGATGAATATCACAAGATAATGTTGATTGAGAGAAGCTGGACACAAAAGAGTACTAGTGTATTATTTCATTTGTATGAAAAAGAAAAATAAGTTTAATTAATTTATGCATTTACAAATCAAGATGGGTTATCCTGTTGGGGCTGATGGCAGAGAGTGCCTAGAAGAGAGCATGTTGGAAATATTTGAGGTACTGATAATATTCTGTCTTGATATCTGGGTGTTGGCTTCACAACTGTATTTAGTTTGTGACAATTCATTCATTTGTATACTTGTTATTTAGTATAGAAAAAAATAGTGTATATAGGGTTTGGTGCTATCCAAGGTTTCAGGCATACTCTGAGGGTCTTGAAACATGTCCCCTGTGGATAAGGGGGGACTACTATACTTACAAATCATATATATGATAAGGGGTTTGTATATAAAATGTATAAAGAACTCATACAACTCAATAAAAAAAAACAAATAATTCAATTTAAAAATAAGAAAAGGACTTGAATAAATATTTCTGCAAAAGATAACAAATGGCCAATGAACACACAAAAAGATCCTCAATATCATTAATCATTAGGGAAATGCAAATCAAAACTCACAATAAAATATCACTTCACACATTCTAGGATGTCTCGAATAAAAGAAACAAGTGATAAGGAAACAAGTGACAATGAAAAATTGGAACCCTTCTACACTACTGGTAGGATTGTTAAATAGTGCATCAAGTTTGGAAAGCAATTTGGCAGTTGCTCAAAATGTTAAAGCAGAGTTACCATGTGACTCAGCAATTACACTCCTAAGTACCTATCTAAGAGACCTGAAAACATACGCTTACATAAAAACCTGCACAGGAATGTTCATTAAAACATCATTCATAACAGCCAAAAAATGAAAACAACCCAAATGCCTATCAATAGATGAGTAGATAAACAAAATGGGTAAACAATGGAATATTATTTGGTAATATAAAGGAATGAGCGCTGTTGCATGACACAACATGAACAAACATTATGCTAAGTGAAAGGTCATATATTGTATGGTTCCATTTTATAAAATGTATAGGATAGGGAAAGCCATGGAAACAAAGTAGAGAAATGGTTGATGGGGCCTAGGGGTGAGGGTAGATAAAGAATGAGTGGGTACACAGTATAGGCTTTCTTTATGAGGTGATGAAAGTGTTTGGAAATTAGACAGTGATGATGGCTGTACAGCTCTGTGAATAAACTAAAACCCACCAAACTGTATACTTTAAAAGGGTGAATTTTATGCTATATGTATTATATCTCAATAAAGACATTATTTTTATAAGAAAAAAGAACAAAAACTTGAATACCACTATAGCCATTAAATAAATTAAATTAGAATTTATATATGTATTCTGCGGCAAAAAACGAGAGAGAGTGAGAGAGAGAAAACAGAGTTTTATGGTGAATTCTATCAAATATCCAAAGAGTTAGATTTACTCAAATTCTTCTAAGGAATTAAAAAAGAGAGAACACCTCTCAGCTCATTTTATGAAACTAGTAAAATTGATACCTAAAACAAACAAAAATAGTATAAAATTTGAAAATCATAGGCCAATTTCATACATAAATATAGATGGAAAAATTTTCAAAAATATCAACCAAAAAAACTGCAATGAACATGAAAGAAAGCATCTTAACCAAACTGAGTTTGTTCTGAGTACTAAAAGCACAGTTTAACATTAGAAAATTTCTCTGGTACAACAGATAAAATTTTAAAATCTATATGATCATTTTAGTGTTTACCAAAAAATTTTTTTAAAAATAAATTCAATGCCATTTCAGGACAAAAGAAATATCAAACCTATAAACAAGGAAGAGAAAGGAACTTCTGACCAGAAGTTTTTATATACTAAAAACTATAATATACTTTAAACTTAATGATGAAATATTAGCAGCTTTCTTCTTAAAATCAGGAATAGAGAAGGATGTACAATATTGCTGCTTCTATTCAACATTGTACTGCAGATCCTCTTAGCATAACATTAAAAGAAACACAAATAAAAATTATAAAAATTGGGAAAGAAGAAACAGAACTGTTACCATTTGAATATTATTCAACAGAATAACAAACCCAACAGAAATTACAGATAAATAAAACTTACATCTATAATGAATTTTTGAAAATTGATTATATCCTTGTATCTATAAAACAAGTTAGAAAATGTAATTTTATAAAATATAACATTTATAATAATAGCAGAAAAAATATGCGGTACCAAGGAAAAATGCTATAACAGTTTTTTAAAATGACTTTTCTATACAAAATGTCATCGGAAGACATTAAAGAATACCTAAATAAATGGAAAAAGATATCACATCCATAGACAGGAAAACGTAACATTAAAATGATTTCATATGGCCCCAAATTAACCTATACTTTTAATGCTATTCCAATCAAAACCACAATGGTGTTTTCCTATAAAATTTAACCTGACTAAAATTAAT